CTGCCGCGGGAGGACGACGGGGGGGAGACGGCGACGAGAAAACGACGATGGCGACTGCGACGATGCTCGTTTTTGGTTTTTTTTTGGGGGGGGGGGGGACCCTTCCCAACCAAAAGGGTTCCTTCTTCAGGGCCCCGACTGTAAGGCCGGGCAGCCTCCTCCAGTCGCTGCTCCCTGCACCTGCCGCCGCCTCGTCGCACACACCCCCGGGGCTGTTTTGTTTGTTTGTTCACGCTGAGTTCTTTAGTTTACCTGTAGTTCTTTAGTTTACCTGTCGGAAGGTGGTGGTGGCGACGAGAAAACGACGATGGCGACTGCGATGATGCTCGTGCTGGTGCTGGCTTTGATTGATTTTCTTTTATATTATTTTTCCTCCCCCCAGACGCACCGGAACCCTCAGACTGCCTCGAGGCCAAACCGCCCCCTACAAACATCTGAGAGTCCGCCGATTGAGGCCACGAACGCTTCGAACGTTTTTGTTTTTTTTGGGGGGGGGACCCCAGTTCACGCTGAGTTCTTTAGTTTACCTGTCGGAAGGTGGTGGGCAGACCGCCCAGAAGTCCAACGGCGACTGCGATGATGCTCGTGATGGTGCTGGCTTTGATTGATTTTTTTTAATATTATTTTTTCCTCCCCCCAGAGGCACCGGAACCCTCAGACTGCCTCGAGGCCAAACCGCCCCCTACAAACATCTGAGAGTCCGCCGATTGAGGCCACGAACGCTTCGAGAGAGTGCAGCGCTCCCCGCTCATATTCGCTCGTTTTTTTTTGTTGGGGGGGGGGGGGACCCTAGTTCAGGCTGAGTTCTTTAGTTTACCTGTCGGAAGGTGGTGGGCAGACCGCCCAGCAGTCCAACGGCGACTGCGATGATGCTCGTGATGGTGCTGGCTTTGATTGAGGCCACGAACGCTCCGAGAGGGTGCAGCGCTCCCCGCTGACATTCGCGCGGGCCACTGCCTGTGGAGCCTGCTGGAGCCACCTCGCGGCCTTTGCGAGGTCGTTTTGAAGTGCATGTTGCATGTGCTTTGTCGCGCGCAAGTTCGTCGCGCGCGATTCTGGCAGCTTTCTTGAGCACCTCCCTTGGATCCACATCGGAGCCGCCTCCGGATCTCCGTGAGGCCACCTGGGAGCCGCCTTGGGATCCCAGAGCGCCGCAGAGCGGGCCGATGAGCGGTTTAGCCGAAGTGGCCCCCCGAAGTTGGGGTCCTGGAGAGAGGATTCGGAGAAGCGGTAGGGGCGGACGTGAGAAGGAGAAGGAACCCTCTCAGAAGGCGGCAGGGCTTCTCCGAAGCTCTCGCGCCTTGCGAGGACTTTGTCGTGTCTTCGGGGGCGGCTTAGCAAACTTCTCAGAAGGCTGGGGGGACTTCCGAGCCTTCTGAGAAGGCCTGCCACTTCTCACTTCCCCCCCTCGCTCGCCGCCGAGAAATAAACGTTGCCGGTGAGCCCTCCCGACGTTTCCCGACGCCACCAGCCGAAGCCGCCTGGGCTCAAGCTTGCTGGCTTTCGACCTCCACCTCTGCTGCCTGAGCCTTCGGATGACCGCACCAGAGCGCCAGAGCCACACGACCCTCAGGTCAGACGTAGCAAAAAATTGCAACGCCGTAAAAAATCACGCCCGGAGCCCTGGACACCACCTTCCCGCGTCCTTTTGCGAGCCGGATCGCTCTGCGAAGGCCCCGAGCCCCGAAACGAACACGCCCGTCGCGAAACAAATGCAGCGCCGCCCCCGGAGCCGCGAGCACGAACCCTTTCTTGCCATCGCTCGGACGTCCATTCCCCGTGCGTTTTTTTGGGTGTCGTGCGTGCTTGTTTGGGCTCGATGGTCAAGGGTGCTGCTCGGTGGCCGCCGCCGAGGAAAAATGCAAGCCGCCCGAGCGATGCCAAGCTTCGGGGAGCCCCGGCCGACGGCGGGGCACTCCGGCGGCTTCTCCCCGGGAGCCAGGTGCTCCTCCGGAGAGCCGTTCCATGCTCAAGGCCCCGGCGCCCGCAGAAGGGCCCCCGGAGGCCGAGGGTGGCGACCCTGACCTTCCAGAGAGCTATTTTTTAGCACCGGAAACCTAAAAACCTAAAAAACGAGACGAAACAGCCTAAAACCAAGACGTAAAATGGCTCTGGGATATAGGTTTTTACGCTGGGTGCTATTTTTTAGCCCTCCTGGAAGGTCAGGGGAGAGGCCCCCCGCCGGGCGCCTTTCCCCACTCGAGGGGGGCCTGGGGGGCCCCGCGAGCCCCCTGCAGCCGGAGCCCGCTCCCGGCCCCCCAAAACCCCTCCCTCTCCCCCTCCTCCTCCTCCTCCTCCTCGTCCTCCTCCTCCTCCTCCTCCTCGTCCTCCTCCTCCCCCTCCTCCTCCTCCTCCTCCTCCCCCTCCTCCCCCTCCCCCTCCCCCGCCTCCCCCTCCCCCTCCCCTTGCGGAAGCTCTGCGGAAGCGCTTCGCGCACCCTGGAGCCGCGCGTAGTGGGCAACGCTAGGAAGCCGCGCTCCCGGACACGCTGGAGGCTCAAGTGTTCCTCCTGTCCAGGCTGCCCCATCTCGAGGCGCAGCCAAGACGCGCACAGGCCTGGCACGGACGGGTCCGGGGCCGCCCAGCGCCGGCCGATCTCGTCACCCGTCGCGCGCCCAACTGGCCATCGCTCGGACGTCCGTTCCCTGTGTTTTTGTTCGGTTTCGTGCGTGGCTTCTTCGCCAAATGATCAAGGATGCTCCTCGATGGTCCTCGCCGAAGAAAACATGCACACGTCCGAGCGATGCCAAGCCAAGGGGAAGCACCTCCTGGAGAAGGGCGCGGCCGGGAGCGCCACGAGGAGCAGGGCCGAGCACACGATACACAGCACGGCGGGAGCACGAGGAGGCAGCACTGCCGCACGGGGCGCCCTGGAGGCGCCCACGTCAGATGGCGGCGAGGGCCGGATGGCGGGGATTTTCGACGAGAAACCAAACATACCCCCAAAAATACCCCCCCAAAGGCCCAAAAGATACTCAAACCATAATCCCCGGACCATGTTTGGAGGATTTTTTGGATAATGTTTGGGGCTATGTTTTACTTCTCGTCGGAAATCCCCCTGCAGGGGGACAGGCCCCCTGCAAAACATACCCCCAAAATATGCCCCCCAAAAGGTCAAAAAAACGACGCAGAAGAAATCCCCCGACTATTCTTGGATCCTTTTCGTTGTGACAATTTTTTGGGGGTATGTTTAAGTCTTCGGCGAAAATCCCCCTGCAAAACATACCCCCAAAATGTCAAAAACTACGCAAAAGAATCCCCCGACTATTTTTGGATCCTTTTCGTAGTGATAATATTGGGGGGTACTTTTAAGTCTTCGGCGAAAAAAACCCTTCCTGCAGATACTCAAACCATACTCCCCGGACTAGGTTTGGAGGATTTTTTGGACAAATTTTGGGGCTATCTTTTACTTCTCGTCGGAAATCCCCCTGCAGGGGGACAGGCCCCCTGCAAAACATGCCCCAAAAATGCCCCCCAAAAAGGTCAAAAAACTACGCAAACAAATCCCCCGACTGTTTTTGGATCCTTTTCGTTGTGACAATCTTGGGGGGTATTCCTAAGTCTTCGGCGAAAAAAAAAAACCTGCAGGGGGACAGGCCCGACGTCGCACCAGCGCGGCGCCGCCGCGCCGCGCGGCCGACGCGCGGCCGACGCGCGGCCGAGCGGCCGGCCGACGCGCGGCGGACGCGCGGCCGACGCGCGGGACGCGCGGCCGCCGAGCGGACGGCGCGACCCCCGCCGCGGCGGCCGCTCTCCGGCGGCGGCGGGGCGCCCCCTCCCCGAGGGCGGGCCCCGCCCCTCCTCCTCCGCCTCCTCCCTCCTCCTCCTCCTCCTCCTCCTCCTCCTCTCCCCCTCCTCTTCCTCCTCCTCCTCCTCCTCCTCCTCCTCCTCCTCCTCCTCCTCCTCCTCCTCCCTCCTCCTCCTCCTCCTCCTCCTCCTCCTCCTCCTCCTCCTCCTCTCCCCTCCCCCCCCCCCCCCCCTTCCTCCTCCTCCTCCTCCTCCTCCTCATCCTCCTCCTCCTCCTCCTCCTCCTCCTCCTCCTCCTCCTCCTCCTCCTCCTCCTCCTCCCCCTCCTCCTCCTCCTCATCCTCCTATTCCTGCTCCTCCTCCTCCTCCTCCTCCTCCTCCTCCTCCTCCTCCTCCTCCTCCTCCTCTCCGGGCGGGCGGGCGCCTCCCGGGGGAGGGCGAGACAGTAAAAGGGGCCCATAAGGACACACCCATGAGGACACGCGGATCAAGAAGGATCCCCCATAGCTTCCCCATGCACGTTCTGGGCCTTGGGCTTTTTCCCCCCCCCCCCCCGGTCCCACATCTTCCCACATGTTCCTGGGGATCGACGATTCCTTGGTGTCTCTGTGTGCTTTTTCCCCTCCTGAGAAACCCAGACCCGACGTCGTGATTTTTTCACAACGTCGACCCCCAGAGGTCCGGACCCCTTCCCCGGGGCCGGTTCTTCGTCCTGAGTCGTTTTTTGACGGTCCCGAGGCCCGGAAAGGGCCCCCGGAGGCAGAAAATGGCGAAAAACCTCCCGTCGTGATTTTTTCACGACGCCAGGAGGTCTGGGAATAGGGGGGGGGGGAAGAGAGGCACCCGCAACAGGCGCAGGCCTGTGGGACGGCGGGCGGGCGCCTCGAGGGGCCGCCAGGGCTTCCCTCGGCGGCGCGCCAGAGTGACCCCCTGTCCTCCTCCTCCTCCTCCTCCTCCTCCTCCTCCTCCTCCTCCTCCTCCTCCTCCTCCTCCTCCTCCTCCTCCTCCTCCTCCTCCTCCTCCTCCTCCTCCTCCTCCTCCTCCTCCTCCTCCTCCTCCTCCTCCTCCCTCCTCCTCCTCCTCCTCCTCCTCCTCCTCCTCCCTCCTCCTCCTCCTCCTCCTCCTCCTCCTCCTCCTCCTCCTCCTCCTCCTCCTCCTCCTCCTCCTCCTCCTCCTCCTCCTCCTTCTTCCTCCTCCCCTCCTCTCCTCCCCTTCTTCCTCCTCCTCCCCTTCTTCCTCCTCCTCCTCCTCTC